CTTCTTTAAACCCAGTTTTTTGTTATTAACTGTTTCCACTTCTTTAAACCCAGTTTTCTGTTATTAACTGTTTCCACTTCTTTAAACCCAGTTTTATGTTATTAACTGTTTCTACTTCTTTAAACCCAGTTTTCTGTACTTTGCTGTTTCCATTTCTTTAAACCCAGTTTTCTGTTATTAACTGTTTCCATTTCTTTAAACCCAGTTTTCTGTTATTCACTGTTTCCACTTCTTTAAACCCGGTTTTCTGTTATTAAATATTTCCACTTCTTTAAACCCAGTTTTCTGTTCTTAACTGTTTCCATTTCTTTAAACCCGGTTTTCTGTTATAAACTGTTTCCAATTCTTTAAACCCAGTTTTATGTTATTAACTGTTTCTACTTCTTTAAACCCGGTTTTCTGTTATTAACTGTTTCCATTTCTTTAAACCCAGTTTGCTGAATGTTTGCCTTATTGCTTCCCCTTCAAATGCTTTCTTATTTTCCTCTCTTTGCTCTTTGCTCATAGCCTCATGTTAGCTATAGCTGTCCAAACGGCTGGACCTTATTAGCTAAAATTTTTTGAGAGAACCCGTGGGCTTCCCGGGGATAACATAGGCTCAAATTATTTTTGTTAAAATGTTATCTACAGGGAACACCGGGCATTTTAGCTAAAATCATGATTTAATACCAAGCGCCAGTAAATGACGGAAGTAACTTTGAGTAATATTATACACCAGGACAACGCCAGGTTCTCCGGATAGTTTAAAATAAAGAAAATGAAGAATCCCTGAAATGGGAGAAACATTGTCACAATGTTCTGATGTATTCCTCATATCATCAGAAGTATTGATGGTTTCTGTCAAAATTCTTGTATCAGAATCTTGATCAGGAATATCAGAATCTTGAACAGGAATATCAGAATCTTGGTCAGGAATATTAGACTCTTGATCAGGAATATCAGAATCTTGGTTAGGAATATCAGAATCTTGATCAGGAATATCAGAATCTTGGTTAGGAATATCAGAATCTTGAACAGGAATATCAGAATCTTGGTCAGGAATATTAGACTCATGATCAGGAATATCAGACTCTTGTTCAGGAATATCGGATAAAGATAAATCCATTTTCAGTTTACCAACATTCAACTAAACATTTTGATTTAATTCATTAAAAAATATATAAATTTTTTATTTTTTAGCTGGGTGAGTTTTATCATATAATACCTCTGAGTCATCTTGATCTGGTTCTTTAGCAGAGTATTCTAGCAGATCAGAGCTCAGTGTTCTGCAGCACTTTAATATATTATATCAAGGGGGCGTATACAGGAGGAGGCATATAAAGGGTTGTCAGTGGCGTACACAAGGGGGGCAGTAGTCCTCTTGCCCCCCCTGGGAGTTCCAGGGGGGCCCTGACCCCCCCTTGGAAAATACAAAATTAAAAGGAAACTACGTTTAAAAAGCAACAACTGACAATGACAAAGACTAAGGATTTGCCTAAATTCACTGTTAATACAAAATTTTAAGATACAGAGCGTCCCATATCATATTAGATTATCTCCTATCTTCAACGCCAAAATACGCACATAATACTCAAAAATCTAGCATTTTCTGCCCTTATTAATTTTTTAAAAATGATTCATTCTTCTTAAATTTTCTGATTTATCCCCCAAATCGTAATTTAGACCCATTGACGCGGTCTAATTTGATGTGGGACACCCTGTATTTAAAACTAAATTAGATAAGTGTATGTCGTCCTTACTTAGGTCGTCTTTTACCAAGATCGCCCTACGGAGTACACTATACATACACTCCGTCAGTCACGGAGGAGGTAGAACCTTAGAAGGCGCGAAATTTATAATAAACATTTACGTAATACATATTAAAGAATTTGAAATTGGTTATGTAGTTACATTAAATATGTTTTAAACGTAAATTATTTATAGTAAAATTTAAATGTTTTCGTCCTATGCAAATATTTGTTTTAACCCACATTTTGATTTATTTTGTAATTTGTTACATAATCTATTTTAAAAATTTCAGAAGAAATTTAGTTGATTAGTGAAAATATAATTTTTTAATGATG